CTCTGGCGTCAAATGACCCCCAACCTTGAAACGACCGACTGAAAAAAAGCTTTGCCTCTTGTCAACAATTTGTATTGCTGAGAAATTTGTGAAGAAATAATTCCATAACTAAACCTGGTGGACTAAACCTCGTTCGATGTCTCGTTCAAAAGTGAATAACTTTCATGTTGCTAGGAAAACAGCAATAGAAAATGACATCTTGTTTTCGGGGTCACACTCGAAATACACCTTTAACTGCTTTTGGCTACTTCATCTTCGCAATAACATATTAAAATTTAAAAAAAAATTATAGTTTAAGTATTTTGCTTTGTAGATATGCCTACCCAGCAACAAGGCATTCAAACGACAATTTTGTATATCAAGAGTTTTCTAGTGGCGTATGTAAGGCCTACCCCCACTCATGGCCTATGCCCCTCCCCCGTGAATCCCCCACCTTCTTAGAATTTAGGGGGGGGGGGGGCTAAAAGGAGCGTTGAAATTGTAAAAACAGTTGAGTGCCCTCCTCTAGAAAATGAGGTCCCTTAAATTGGATCCCATCAGTCACTGCCATTATATTTCTGTTGCAAATCGGTCAACTGTTTGCGTATTTCAAGACAAATTTAAACAATTTAGTGTTGGATTTTACGTGTGTGTGGTTTGTAATTTGAATAGAACCTGATATCGAAAGAACATTTTTAAAATGTTCATCCCAACTTCTACTTTCTCTTTTAACCCCTCGCCTGCCCGCCCTGTCTGTCTGTTTTCCCCACTTTTCTCGGCTATGGCCCGAAGCCAGTTCCAGCCGATTTAGCAACAACACGAATCACATATCAGCTGTTCGGGTTGCTGGCGAGATTTCGATCGGCCATGTGCGCCATATTTGCATAATCTATTATATAATAATCTTTGCATGAAGGACAGAGTCTATATTTCTGCTGCAGTCATCGCAACAATCAAAGATGCATTTTCCTTGCTTTCCTTGCATTTTCCTTGACCGGAAAAGAAGTTTTGCCTCTGGTGAACACCTTGTAATGCTGGAGAATTTTTAAAATTATGTATAAGAAGCAAAATCTTTTTGGGTGATAAAGAAAAATAACAACATGAACGTCTACGTCCGGAGTGGGAGGGCCGAGGCTGTTATACCCTTGTTGCTTTAGTAGTCTTGCCGTTAAGTAGTGTTCACATTTCTACTTGTTTGTTTTCTTTTTAGTTTAAATGAAAATTTTGTTCAAAAGTAAAAATAACAACTAACCAGGAAAAATAGCACGTTGTAAATAGATAATTCACTCGCAAAAACTGATACACAAAATCGTTTTATTCAACAGCAATCAAGAGCAAGGTTACAAAGCGTTATGATATTGAATTAATTAAGACCCACCACACAGAATGACTGTTCATGGTTGTATTTAGTTCAGATCATATATAGCATTATTTTTTTTTATTTTCTTCCAGTGGCCTTGACCTACAGGTCAGTTTTTTTGGAACTCTTTACAATATTATGTCTTGTAAATGAAAACAGATGTCAGCAAGTTTTGAAGTAATGGCATAGCAAGGAAATATTTTCCATAGGAGATTGTGTCAGAAAAAAACCAGTTAATAGCTTCACAATCGTTACAACCTATCAAGTGTTGTTAATTGCTAATTCCTATAGATTGAAATTCTGATTAGCTTCAGATTTAAAATGGTAATCAGAAAATTTGTGATTCACCATCCCATTGCTGTTGGTATTTTTGGAATCTGAAATGAAGACCAACAACAAGAAAAAATCATGCCATTTTTTTTCATAATTTATGCATGAAGCTAAAAAGGCAAACATGCGGTTATTTGCTGTACTCGTCTCTGAGAAAGGAAATCTATAGTCCTCTTTGCGCATGCTTGAATGATATAGGTACACTGACTAACTAGCTCCCTGATTGACCGAGTGACTGACGAACTAACTCACTGAGTTGATTGAATGACCGCCTCACTCACTAAATAACTAGCTCCCTAATTGACCGAGTGACTGACGAACTAACTCACTGAGTTGATTGAATGACCGCCTCACTCACTGACTAACTAGCTCCCTAATTGACCGAGTGACTGACGAACTAACTCCCCGAGTTGATTGAATGACCGCCTCACTCACTGACTAACTAGCTCCCTCCCCGACCGAGTGACTGACGAACTAACTCACTGAGTTGATTGAATGACCGCCTCACTCACTAAATAACTAGCTTCCTGATTGACCGAGTGACTGACAACTAACTCACTGAGTAATTGATTGAATGACCGCCTCACTCCCCGACTAACTAGCTCCCTGATTGACCGAGTGACTGACAAACTAATTCACTGAGTTGATTGAATGACCGCCTCACTCACTGACTAACTAGCTCCCTAATTGACCGAGTGACTGACGAACTAACTCCCCGAGTTGATTGAATGACCGCCTCACTCACTGACTTACTAGCTCCCTCCCCGACCGAGTGACTGACGAACTAACTCACTGAGTTGATTGAATGACCGCCTTACTCACTGACTAACTAGCTCCCTAATTGACCGAGTGACTGACGAACTAACTCACTGAGTAATTGATTGAATGACCGCCTCACTCACTGAATAACTATCTCCCTGATTGACCGAGTGACTGACGAAATAACTCACTGAGTTGATTGAATGACCGCCTCACTCACTGACTAACTAGCTCCCTCCCCGACGGAGTGACTGACGAACTAACTCACTGAGTTGATTGAATGACCGCCTCACTCACTGAATAAATAGCTCACTAATTGACCGAGTGACTGACGAACTAACTCAATGAGTAATTGATTGAATGACCGCCTCACTCACTGACTAACTAGCTCCCTAATTGACCGAGTGACTGACGAACTAACTCACTGAGTAATTGATTGAATGACCGCTTCACTCACTGACTAACTAGCTCCCTGATTGACCGAGTGACTGACGAACTAACTCCCCGACCGAGTGACTGACGAACTAACTCACATAGGCCAAGTTCGCGCAAGGACTATAGTTGACCAATGGTTAACTAACGTTTGCCCGAACTCTGTCTAGTCAACGGTGGTTGACTACGCTAGTTGTCTATTTGGAACCAGCCTACTGGGGTTGGTTGCTTCGCTGGTAACCAATAGCCGCGCGCATTCATAACGCTAGCAGAGAGCCAGGATCAAGAAGTTTTGCGATGACATTTTGACCAGTGTTTGACTAGAGACGTTCGCACGTTGCTATCAGTGCGCAGGCGTAAGGTACGTCACAAATCAACCACTTGTCGACTAATGGTCCTTGCCCGAACTTGGCCTGAGTTGATTGAATGACCGCCTCACTCACTGACTAACTAGCTCCCTAATTGACCGAGTGACTGACGAACTTACTCACTGAGTTGATTGAATGACCGCCTCACTCACTGACTAACTAGCCCCCTAATTGACCGAGTGACTGACGAACTAACTCACCGAGTTGATTGAATGACCGCCTCACTCACTGACTAACTAGCTCCCTGATTGACCGAGTTACTGTTCTGAAGTCTCACCAAGGCCACGTGCATGAACAGTTTCCCACTATTCATGTTCTGAATCCATTGAATAGACTTTACTAAGCGTTCCTTGTCTCTGGTTGAAGTTAGTAAAAGACGACTTTACATTTACTTAACGCTCTGTGTAAGACACCTCGCGAACAGGGCTGAGTAGGTCATTTGGAACAGTATCTGTCTGTTATTTCGAAGCTAGCGTGTTCGATTCCGCAAACACTATAATGTCTGACCTATGCTCCTCAATCTCTGTCCTATTTTTGAAGGTAAATGAAAACCGAATTAAAATTCTCAAAAGGTTCAACGCGTCCTCATCTCACATTGGAGCTTTTTTTGCCAGCTGACGCAGGTCAGCTTTTTCGTGTGTGCATGACCCTTGCACACCAAAGTCTCCCACAGTAAGCAGCCCAGAATGCATTGCGTTTCCGTACAGATTATGGTACAATGATGCACCCCTGTATTAAAGTTCCCCTCGATACTAGTGCTAAATGCCCATACTTCAACATTCCTTTTAAAATACTGAAAACTCTCACAGGTTTTAAAGCTGAACAGAAACGTGATGATCAACATTTCATCTTTCATTTTTTTTTTATTTGTGGTGGGTTGCAAATTGACTTTTCGAGAAATTCTCACCCCAACACCCTATTTTTCCCAAAGCGGAAAAGTAGCCATCTTACAAACCGATCCCTCCTGCCCTCCACAATACGGAAAACTAGCGCCAAATTCGAGCCCAATTGCATCAAAAATGCTCAGAATTTGAATCCCATAGTCCGGGCCAGAGGTTCATTGCCATATCTCTTCAATTCCCCTATTTGATGGCTCTCAGAACTCTCTAATATAGAATATTTTGAGGGTATAACTTTTATTCATGAGCTCGGAGGATGGGTTAGTCCTAGTCTGGTGTGCACGCACAAGCGTTTAACCCCAACTAACGGCCTTTTCATAGAGGTTTGTATTGTTTCTCTTCACTTCGATTTGAATCGGAGTAAGGCGGGCGGGTGGGGGATAGATGACTTATTCATGAAGAAACTGTTGAGGTAATTTTCCGCTGTCGTATGAAACTTGGACTCCGATGAAATCTGTTCTCTTATACGGTTCTACATCCTTGAAGGACATTGTGATATTTATTAAACAAAGTGATATTAAAATGGTTTAACACTCTGAAAAATCCCGAGTCAGATTAAATCCCGTCAAACTGACACTTTTCCGTGTCAAAGTGGCACTTTTCCGGGTCAAAGTGACACTTTTCCAGGTCGAAATTGTCAATTTGACCCGAAGTAGTATCACTTAGTCTTATATGACCCGCATTCCGCAGGACATGCATATCTGACCCGGGACGTTTTAGATAGAGTGAAGATATTTTACTGGAGATATTATGCTCGAAGATAGCGATTAGATGCTTCAAGGCACATATTTCAAGTTCTTTGCTAACTTCTACGGTTTCTGCATTAAAAAGGACATTTCAATTGCGACAAAAAAATAACAGGCTACGAAAAGATAACTTTGGTCGCAGGAGCTCATACCATGCCAACAGCATTTATTCAACAGAAATCTTAAAAGTGTGATTACAATAATTAAGACCCACCACCCAGAATGACTTTTCATGCTTTTGTTTAGTTCAGATATAGCGTATGATTTGTTTCATCTGCCTACAGGTCAGTTTTAAGTCTTCATAATTCACTGTCTAATGTCTTGTAAGCGAAAACTGATTTCAGCAAGCTGTAAAGAAAGGCCTATGTAATAACAAGACAACATGCTAAATAAATGCGATGCAAAGGAGGAAGTTGTGTCAGAGAAACTCGCAGTGGTAGCTTCACAATCGTGACACCCATCGGGTGTTGTTGTTCATTTCCAGATAAAGATTCTGATTAGGATCAGATTAAATAGTAATCGAAAAATATGTCATAAATTTACTCACGGGAGTTAGCTTTGTCAACTTTTAATCCTTGGGGGAATTTCAATTACATGTAGATGCAAAAAGTCTCATTTAACTCGAACAAGGCAAAGACAATACAACTTAATCCCTACACCGTAATAAATAATCAATTGCGACTTCATCATCCCAAGGCTGTTGGCATTTGGAATCTGAAATGAAGACCAAAACAAGAGAAAATAAAAATAATTTCATTGTTAAGCTCACACCAAACTCGTTGGATGAAAAAAAATAGGAAAAAAATAAAAACGTTTGTGGTATTTACGTCCTTAGAACTTGCTTAAAATGTCAGTGCTAGAAATCACATGCACAGAAACTAGTACAGGAATGTTAAATGTCTATAATGGTGTCAAATCTAGCCCAGGTTGGATGATTGTCTTCATTGCATTACGACTGACGTCCAGGTTCTTAGACCTCTGTGTAATACGACTCAAAAAAAGAAAATTATTGTTTTGAGCACTTCATATCGTGGACTCCCTCTGTACGTAGGGAGGTAAGGAAGTCTACTAGGTTACATTGGTTTCAAGGTAAGTCAATTACAGCAAAATGAAGTTTTGAATGACAAATTTTCCTCTTTTTGAGGTTATTATTTCCTTAAACGGGTGCAGCTAAGTTGAACGATTATATCTGTCATTACGTGGGCTCACTAGCTATGGCCAAACAAAAAAGTCTCCGGTTTCAGGTATGCGCCCGTGTCGCCCTTGCCATGCGCTTCGGCAAAATGAAAAAGTTTTTCTTTCCAATGTAAGATGATGTCTCAAAACTGCCAAAATCACTGGTTTGACTGGAATCCTGCTGCAGCACAATTTTAACATGTTTTTAGATGGGGTTATGATCGAGTATAAGCTTTATGTGGCCTCTAAGGGACTCCCATTGCGCTAAATTTAGTTGGGCACTATTTGCAGTCATCAGCCGACATTTGAAGAAAAAACGGGGGAAAAAAGCCGCGTCGCTGCACCACTTTTTGGGGCAAGCTTCATATCAGAAACCCGGAGACTTTTTTAGCCTAGGTTGAACGCCATTAACAAAAGTGGGGTCACTACTCGACAAGCTTTGCTGTTTAGAGACCCGCATCCATTAATATAACGACTGTCAACTTTTCGGAAGAAGCAAAAATTACCTTCAATATTTTGCCATTCTCTTGTAAGGATATTCGCAATCTCCCCATGGCATGCAGGTCAAGCCGCGTTCGCACGATGGATAAACATAAAAACAGGCTGAAAATAAAGCAGTTGGATATGAAATGTTAGTGTTACCACACGATAACACTGTGCATCAATACATTGGCAGCGTGTTTAAATGTGAACATTAAATCTGATTAATTAGCTCGAAATTAAGAATAAATCAACTGCAGAAACTTACGTGGTCCTTCATCTTGTTTCACAGCAACCTCGTCGGCTGAAAGGAAAGAGAGGCGGAACAATTACTTTATTGCTGATCAGTGCGTCAGTTTAGATAAAAAAAAAATCACAACGCTAAATCTTACACATATAATGACAAGGATCTTTATTGGAACATGGTCGAATGTCCATTAAAATGTGTCAGTACTTTACTACTGTACTGGCCCGATTGGCGGATTGCATCGTAATGTTAAATAGATGTCGTTCAACTAAGCTGCATCGGTTAAAAGGGAATAACTTCAAAAAGAGGAAAATAATCCTAGAAACTTCGCCGATTGAGCTGAAGAGCAATGAGACGGAGAACATGTTGAATATTCACTTTTTATGTTCACTGCGTAAAAGATGCGTCCCCCGCGCTCCTCAAAAAGGAAACGGGACACAGCATTGCTTTCCAATGATTCTATTAAAAAAGTATTACATCGGTTTCGAGGTAAGTCAATTACAGTAAAATGCAGTTTTGAATGACAAATTTTCCTCTTTTTGAAATTATTATTTCCTTCAACGGGTGCAGCTAAGTTGAACGAAATATATCATTACGTGGGCTCACTAGCTAAGGCCAAAAAAAGTCTCCGGTTTCAGGTATGCGCGCGCGTCGCCGTAGCCATGCGCGTCACGTCGGCAAAATGAAAAAGTTTTTTTTGCCAATGTAAGATGATGTCTCAAAACTGCCAAACTCACTGGTTTTAGCAGCACAATTTTAACGTGTTTTTAGATGGGGTTACGATCGAGTATAAGCTTTATGTGGCCTCTAGGGACTCCCATTGCACTAAATTTAGTCGGGCACCATTTGCAGTCATCAGCCGACATTTGAAGAAAAAAACGGGGAAAAAAGCCGCGTCGCCGCACCACTTTTTGGGGCAAGCTTCGTACCAGAAACCGGAGACTTTTTTTTGGCCTAAGTTAAACGACATCTATTTAACAAAAGTGGGGTCACTACTCGACAAGCTTTGCTTTTTTGAGACCCTCATCCACATTATTGTGATCTTATGATTGTCTTGACATACTGCTTTGTATTGCTATGTGGTAAATAAAGTAAGATTGATTAAATGATTGATTGATTGATTGATTGAAACAGCCCCCCCCCCCGCTTCCGGGAAATAAACATTATAACGATTGTCGATTCAACTTTTCGGACGAAGTAAAAATTACCTTCAACATTTGCCATTCTCTTGTGAGCATATACGCACACTCCCCATGGCATGCAGGTCAAGCCGGGATCGCACGGTGGATAATCATAACCACAGGCTGAAAATAAAGCAGTTGGATATGAAATGTTAGTGTTACCACACGATAACACTGTGCATCAATACATTGGCAGCGTGTTTAAATGTGAACATTAAATCTGATTAATTAGCTCGAAATTAAGAATAAATCAACTGCAGAAACTTACGTGCTCCTTCATATTGTTTCACAGCAACCTCGTCGGCTGAAAGGAAAGAGAGGCGGAACAATTACTTTATTGCTGATCAGTGCGTCAGTTTAGATAAAAAAAAAATCACAACGCTAAATCTTACACATATAATGACAAGGATCTTTATTGGAACATGGTCGAATGTCCATTAAAATGTGTCAGTACTTTACTACTGTACTGGCCCGATTGGCGGATTGCATCGTAATGTTAAATAGATGTCGTTCAACTAAGCTGCATCGGTTAAAAGGGAATAACTTCAAAAAGAGGAAAATAATCCTAGAAACTTCGCCGATTGAGCTGAAGAGCAATGAGACGGAGAACATGTTGAATATTCACTTTTTATGTTCACTGCGTAAAAGATGCGTCCCCCGCGCTCCTCAAAAAGGAAACGGGACACAGCATTGCTTTCCAATGATTCTATTAAAAAAGTATTACATCGGTTTCGAGGTAAGTCAATTACAGTAAAATGCAGTTTTGTATGACAAATTTTCCTCTTTTTGAAATTATTATTTCCTTCAACGGGTGCAGCTAAGTTGAACGAAATATATCATTACGTGGGCTCACTAGCTAAGGTCAAAAAAAGTCTCCGGTTTCAGGTATGCGCGCGCGTCGCCGTAGCCATGCGCGTCACGTCGGCAAAATGAAAAAGTTTTTTTTGCCAATGTAAGATGATGTCTCAAAACTGCCAAACTCACTGGTTTTAGCAGCACAATTTTAACGTGTTTTTAGATGGGGTTACGATCGAGTATAAGCTTTATGTGGCCTCTAGGGACTCCCATTGCACTAAATTTAGTCGGGCACCATTTGCAGTCATCAGCCGACATTTGAAGAAAAAAACGGGGAAAAAAGCCGCGTCGCCGCACCACTTTTTGGGGCAAGCTTCGTACCAGAAACCGGAGACTTTTTTTTGGCCTAAGTTAAACGACATCTATTTAACAAAAGTGGGGTCACTACTCGACAAGCTTTGCTTTTTTGAGACCCTCATCCACATTATTGTGATCTTATGATTGTCTTGACATACTGCTTTGTATTGCTATGTGGTAAATAAAGTAAGATTGATTAAATGATTGATTGATTGATTGATTGAAACAGCCCCCCCCCCCGCTTCCGGGAAATAAACATTATAACGATTGTCGATTCAACTTTTCGGACGAAGTAAAAATTACCTTCAACATTTGCCATTCTCTTGTGAGCATATACGCACACTCCCCATGGCATGCAGGTCAAGCCGGGATCGCACGGTGGATAATCATAACCACAGGCTGAAAATAAAGCAGTTGGATATGAAATGTTAGTGTTACCACACGATAACACTGTGCATCAATACATTGGCAGCGTGTTTAAATGTGAACATTAAATCTGATTAATTAGCTCGAAATTAAGAATAAATCAACTGCAGAAACTTACGTGCTCCTTCATATTGTTTCACAGCAACCTCGTCGGCTGAAAGGAAAGAGAGGCGGAACAATTACTTTATTGCTGATCAGTGCGTCAGTTTAGATAAAAAAAAAATCACAACGCTAAATCTTACACATATAATGACAAGGATCTTTATTGGAACATGGTCGAATGTCCATTAAAATGTGTCAGTACTTTACTACTGTACTGGCCCGATTGGCGGATTGCATCGTAATGTTAAATAGATGTCGTTCAACTAAGCTGCATCGGTTAAAAGGGAATAACTTCAAAAAGAGGAAAATAATCCTAGAAACTTCGCCGCTTGAGCTGAAGAGCAATGAGACGGAGAACATGTTGAATATTCACTTTTTATGTTCACTGCGTTAAAGATGCGTCCTCCGCGCTCCTCAAAAAGGAAACGGGACACATCATTGCTTTCCAATGATTCTATTAAAAAGTGTTACATCGGTTTCGAGGTAAGTCAATTACAGTAAAAGGCAGTTTTGAATGACAAATTTTCCTCTTTTTGAAATGATTATTTCCTTCAACGGGTGCAGCTAAGTTAAAGGAAATATATCATTACGTGGGCTCACTAGCTAAGGCCAAAAAAAGTCTCCCGTTTCAGGTATGCGCGCGCGTCGCCGTAGCCAGGCGCGTCACATCGGCAAAATGAAAAAGTTTTTTTTGACAATGTAAGATGATGTCTCAAAACTGCCAAACTCACTGGTTTGACTGGAATCCTGCTGCAGCACAATTTTAACGTGTTTTTAGATGGGGTTACGATCGAGTATAAGCTTTATGTGGCCTCTAGGGACTCCCATTGCACTAAATTTAGTCGGGCACCATTTGCAGTCATCAGCCGACATTTGAAGAAAAAAAACGGGGGAAAAAGCCGCGTCGCCGCACCATTTCTTGGGGCAAGCTTCGTACCAGAAACCGGAGACTTTTTTTTGGCCTAAGTTGAACGACATCTATTTAACAAAAGTGGGGTCACTACTCGACAAGCTTTGCTTTTTTGAGACCCTCATCCACATTATTGTGATCTTATGATTGTCTTGACATACTGCTTTGTATTGCTATGTGGTAAATAAAGTAAGATTGATTAAATGATTGATTGATTGATTGTTTGAAACAGCCCCCCCCCTTCCGTCAAATAAACATGATAACGATTGTCGATTCAACTTTTCGGACGAAGTAAAAATTACCTTCAACATTTGCCATTCTCTTGTGAGCATATTCGCACACTCCCCATGGCATGCAGGTCAAGCCGGGATCGCACGGTGGATAATCATAACCACAGGCTGAAAATAAAGCAGTTGGATATGAAATGTTAGTGTTACCACACGATAACACTGTGCATCAATACATTGGCAGCGTGTTTAAATGTGAACATTAAATCTGATTAATTAGCTCGAAATTAAGAATAAATCAACTGCAGAAACTTACGTGCTCCTTCATATTGTTTCACAGCAACCTCGTCGGCTGAAAGGAAAGAGAGGCGGAACAATTACTTTATTGCTGATCAGTGCGTCAGTTTAGATAAAAAAAAATCACAACGCTAAATCTTACACATATAATGACAAGGATCTTTATTGGAACATGGTCGAATGTCCATTAAAATGTGTCAGTACTTTACTACTGTACTGGCCCGATTGGCGGATTGCATCGTAATGTTAAATAGATGTCGTTCAACTAAGCTGCATCGGTTAAAAGGGAATAACTTCAAAAAGAGGAAAATAATCCTAGAAACTTCGCCGCTTGAGCTGAAGAGCAATGAGACGGAGAACATGTTGAATATTCACTTTTTATGTTCACTGCGTTAAAGATGCGTCCTCCGCGCTCCTCAAAAAGGAAACGGGACACATCATTGCTTTCCAATGATTCTATTAAAAAAGTGTTACATCGGTTTCGAGGTAAGTCAATTACAGTAAAAGGCAGTTTTGAATGACAAATTTTCCTCTTTTTGAAAAGATTATTTCCTTCAACGGGTGCAGCTAAGTTAAAGGAAATATATCATTACGTGGGCTCACTAGCTAAGGTCAAAAAAAGTCTCCCGTTTCAGGTATGCGCGCGCGTCGCCGTAGCCATGCGCGTCACATCGGCAAAATGAAAAAGTTTTTTTTGACAATGTAAGATGATGTCTCAAAACTGCCAAACTCACTGGTTTGACTGGAATCCTGCTGCAGCACAATTTTAACGTGTTTTTAGATGGGGTTACGATCGAGTATAAGCTTTATGTGGCCTCTAGGGACTCCCATTGCACTAAATTTAGTCGGGCACCATTTGCAGTCATCAGCCGACATTTGAAGAAAAAAACGGGGAAAAAAGCCGCGTCGCCGCACCACTTTTTGGGGCAAGCTTCGTACCAGAAACCGGAGACTTTTTTTTGGCCTAAGTTAAACGACATCTATTTAACAAAAGTGGGGTCACTACTCGACAAGCTTTGCTTTTTTGAGACCCTCATCCACATTATTGTGATCTTATGATTGTCTTGACATACTGCTTTGTATTGCTATGTGGTAAATAAAGTAAGATTGATTAAATGATTGATTGATTGATTGATTGAAACAGCCCCCCCCCCTTCCGGGAAATAAACATTATAACGATTGTCGATTCAACTTTTCGGACGAAGTAAAAATTACCTTCAACATTTGCCATTCTCTTGTGAGCATATTCGCACACTCCCCATGGCATGCAGGTCAAGCCGGGATCGCACGGTGGATAATCATAACCACAGGCTGAAAATAAAGCAGTTGGATATGAAATGTTAGTGTTACCACACGATAACACTGTGCATCAATACATTGGCAGCGTGTTTAAATGTGAACATTAAATCTGATTAATTAGCTCGAAATTAAGAATAAATCAACTGCAGAAACTTACGTGCTCCTTCATATTGTTTCACAGCAACCTCGTCGGCTGAAAGGAAAGAGAGGCGGAACATTGTATTAATACTCCACGGAAAACTTAGCAATGGGAAAAACATTTTCGGGGTGAAACACAAATTAGCACGGAGAATTGATTGTGGTCCGAGGGAAGGATTGTAAATTGCAGCCACCGCTTTCTCCCAAAAATAAAAGACGGACTGAAGCTCAAAGAGAAGAAAAAAAGAAGAAGGACATGTTACCTTTGTTAGTTTCAGCCGCGAAGACAGAGCCCAGGCACACCAGAACGACCAAGCAGATATAAGCCTTCATCCTGACTGCATAAAGATACGTTAACCCAGAATAATAAAAGCGGCACCCACAACAAGAACTAGAGGTTTGCGTTTGTTGAGTTACAAACACAAAGTGGTCGGGCTGGCATCTATTTCATTATGTCTTAAACTTTGCCACAATAATCAACTGAAAATCATTTTCAAACATTTTTCAACCTGCCGCTAGAGGCCGTTCTAACATGACGTCACCGGTATTTTTTGTCTAAAGTACAAACTGGCTGGAGACTAACATCGCTGAAAGCAAATGCACATCTTTTTTCAATTTTTAAATTACAAGGCACTTCCAGTTTGCAAGTCCCGTACACAGCAAAATCAGATCTCTCCATAAAGCTATAATAAATTTTATATAGCTCAATGGATCTCTCACAGTTGATTTTCAAATATTAATCACGTGGTCTCAACATATATGCACACCTAAGCTACTGTATTGTAAACTCATCAAGTACAATCGTAAAAAACCCGTATCTCTAAAAGTAAAATTCGCACACCATTGGCGTAATGCAAAGTATTGCTCGCCATACCTATTCATCCCAATGTGCACGTTTAAAAAAAAGCCGCCTAGTTGGGCACCCGTTAAAGTTATGTAGCGCCCTCTAATTCATATGGCATCTATTTCATGTGTCTTAAAATTTGCCACAATGAACAGTTCCATACCCAACCTCGTCACCAGGGTGTCGAGCAGAACGCGCCCACCTCTGCTCTCTCACCCTGGTATTGGATCATTTGCATGTTCAAGATTATTGAACACACATGCAAATGAGGAATAGCCTGGTGCCTGCATGTGCATTACATCAGCGTTTGTTTTTGTATGCGGTATCTGGGGTAAAACTAACATCAATTCGTCGCGCCGGAATTTGTTTAACTTAAAATGTTACAATCTGGCCCGCCAATATCACATTTCATATTAATATAAGCAAACTGGAAAGAAAAGGAGTGTTTTTGAGAAGGCGTGGACGTTATTATTACAAAGCACCGTGAAAACACGTAATGTACGTTGGAAATAACAACACCAACTACACGATATCAATCAATTATTAGCAAATTGCTTTATCGAATCAGGACGAAGGTGGTTCCATACCTGCATCGGGCATCAATGGATTTTCCTGCCATGTTGCCTAAATTGAATTCTGTATCTGCAGATGTCTAGATTTGAACTTTCTATTAAAAAACACAATATTCAAGCAACTGTGGCGACGATCTTATCCAACGTAAAGACACTTGTGACTTTATACACGTACACAATGGTAACTGAATCACCAAGAACACAGACTTGACTCAAGCTGGAATTGCCTTAAATCGGTATCTTACAAAAATAAGTTTAAACTAGAGGTTCGCGTTTGTAATGTTACAAACGCAGAGTGGTCGGGCAGACAACTATTTCATTAGACACTGCCCAGTTAAGTTTGAATATTTTTATGTCAGAACAAAGGATCACGAACTTCAAAATGTCCAGTACAATCAATTATTTTGTAAAAAAAAATGCATCTTTTAAAGAGAATGATAAATTTCAGTATACATTTTAGGTACACGTACACGTTGTTTCCAGTTTGATGACGTCATCAGTCAAGGGACTACTGATATAGTTCAAGGAGGATACCTGTTTATCATTAAGTAAAAATAATGCACGGAAATATAGAAATTACAAGTGTATGTAATAATAACACCCAACTTCCGGTCTGATCCTGTAATGATTATAAAATCCTGCAAATTCATTTGTGGTTGCTCACGGAATATATAGGGACAATTTGGAAGAATTTTGCTTGAGGGCTTTAAAATTTGAAAAGGTTAAACTCGTTTTTATGTTCCGCTGGAGGGTGTCCTTTCGGGGATGACGTCAAAACTATGTTTTTGTGTTTGGCATCCCTCACTTAACACTTTCATAATGTACTTGTCTGTTGTAAAATGCTTTTGTTTTAGTTACAATTAATTTAGGTCAAGCGGTTTTGTGCCCGGGAATACCGGAAATGAATAAGTTGCTCAAGGCACCGTCTACAACCTCACGAAAACAATTGAACACGAAATTCTATGTAGTTTAAGAGATTTTGCTCAAACTATTTTGTCAAATTGTGCCCTGAAATCGCTTGTTATTTGATACCTGATGACGTCTTGATGACAAAAAAATGTATAACATCATCGTCGTAACATGGTACAAGTTCCCATAGGATATAAAGCGCACGTTAGCATATTGTGTCGTCAATTATGTCTCTGGTCTGTACCCTAATGAGCTCGTTTGAATAGCTTCCCCGAGTCAACTCGGATATGGTAATCCTGGTGGAACCAACAAGAACCAGTTGAAACCAACTGTCCAAACCAGTATTAACTGATAATCCTGATGCACTGTTATTTCGGTTGTGTAAAAATCAAACGGTTGTGTACTATTTGAACCTAGCAACCCGTTGTGTAAACTGTTCTTTACACAACTTGTGTAAAATATTACACAACTTGTTCAATATTTTTACACAACTAGTTGCTAGTTTCATATAGTACACAACCGAAATGACAGTGTGGAATCAACAGGAACCGGTCGAAACTAAATGAATAAACCAGTAATAACTGGTAATTCTGATGGGATCAACAGGAACCAGTTGAAAGCAACTGAATAAACCAGTAATAACTGGTGATCCTGATGGGACCAATAAGAACCAGTTGAAACCAGTTAAACTTACCAGTAAGAACTGGATACATTGGAATTACAGGGAACAGGAACCAGTTGAAACCATAGCCGAACCAGTTACCTACGGGTAAGTCTTACTGGATTCATGAATTCTACGTGACAGGTCTGTAAGACGAGCGTTTGACATATTTGTACAGATAGGCTAACACAATGTAAACTGTCGCGTCCATATACTCATAAAGTAAGTTACTTACATGAAGTTGACGCTGTTGTGCTCCTGAAGTAGAGATAAGCTTGCTAGTTGACGACAATCGCCGGAATGTCTATTTGGAGAAAGGACCAGACCTTTTATACTTTTTGGAGATGTAAATGGACGGTGCAGAGCTTACGAATGTGGTAACGAAGGACCGATAATTGAGAGTGGTATCAGTAGACGTTCCAGATTGGCTGAAAATTATAAGATGTGAACTCCAGTGAAAGCCCCACCCACGCTTCTTGACCAATCACAGCTGCGATTAAAGACTGACATGCGTGCACTAAAGTGCACCATGCATTTGCGTGCGTTTGACGCACGGGCTGGCACGTGCAGTGGGGCAGCGGATGGTGTCACGTGCTGTTGCCCACGTGCTCAGTGGGTGGAGCTTAATGGATTGGTTTATTGATCATGGTGACTCATCAAAAAACCTCATGTGACTAAAAAAACCCACTTCACTTTCAGCCCAGTTTACGTAGCATCTAAGTTTGGTCCAATGACGAAACAAAAGAAAAATTCGGAATCTCTTTCAATATTGCAAACTTCAATAGTTTCAGAACACGAACGATGAAGCAACGACTTTTAACGATGTCAGTATTATCAACAGAAATCCTTAAGTATAGACTTTCAAAACGTATTGTTACAAACAAACAGATACCTTTTATTCATTTTTAGAAAAAAGTTGTATATCAAGCAGAATCTGTTGATTTGTTGTATTTAGAAATACCTATCAAGGCATACGTACAGTCGTACACCCTTAAAAGAGTTAATTTGTCTATAAGAGACAAAGGACAAACATTCTAATTTAAAGATGACATTGTGCAATGACAAGAAACGTCTTTGCTATCACAAGAGTCAATTAAACGTCATTTCCTACAATTACTCGTATCAGCGAACTGTAATTGATCATAAAACCAGTAACTCGAAATTAATCGTTTCGACGAACATTATTTTGATATTAAAACAATATTTTACACTACAGATTCAATTGAGACAAAACATACTTCGTTTTGTATGAATCCTTTTTTTTTAACGTATCTGGCAAGTTATTTATCATGTAAACTGGGTTGTTATGGTTGTCGGCCGCTAAAAGCAGACATATCAGGACAAACAACGGAACGCAATACTTCACAAAAGTTACCATCAAAAGCTTTAAAGTGACTGCCTCAATAAGTACGTAACAATTCTGCAATGCTGGCTCTTGAACACTTACATAATCTTATGTTTTATACTCAGTCCAATTTAAAAAAAACCTATAATTTTCTCTTACAAAATGTTTGGATTCGAGTAATCACAATATGTCGCAAAAAGAATCAATGAAACAGTATACACCTGACATTCGGAGATGTAACGTATCTTGTGACAAATATAATGGCACGCCTATAAGACAAAGGCCTATCTTTTTTTTTCTTTTCTTTTTTTAGCCCCCTTTCATAACCTTCTTGGACTTTTTTAAAGCCTTTTTGCAGTAGGATATCATTTCAAGTTTATTTTACTGAATTGGTCGCCTTGCTCAGAGCTTTTGAACATGACAAGTGACACTAATACGTTACCAAGCTGATCAGATACGTTACTTACCAGGTTGATCAGATACGTTGTCAGGTTGATCAGACTGCTTTATTTAAACCACCATTTTCCTTGAAAATCATGTGTTGGCGGGCTTAATTTTTTTGTAAAGTCGTAGTGCTGTACGGCCTTAAATGTTCTTGTTTTAGGTTTATATCTATACTTAACAATTTATAGGTTATGTCCTTAAAGTTGGTTAAAATTTAAACCAATTTTTACAATGTTGCCCAACGTTGGGTATTTTTTTTTAAACAACTGTTGGACGGTTCACCTGGTAAACAACAGTTGGCTAAAATTAGTCATTCTACTAGTACCCAATGCTGGTTAAATTTACCCTTATTCAAGGCAGAATAAAGAGAAACTCTGCGTTTTTAGTCTTTTTTTTTTCATTATTAAATTCGATGGACTAAATTAAATTTTTCGATTGGCTACCACGAAAATCATGGATTTCCCCCCAAACAAATTCGTCAAAAGTCTTAGAATAGAAATGAAATTTAATTTGAGCTGTCACGGTGCTCAGTTTAAGAAGCTGTTTAAGAAAAGCAGGCCTATGGTAGTTAGGTTCGTGGAGAGTCCATGATATATATAGCACTGTATATTCGTTTGGATATCCGTCCCCTTAGTGGCGTAAACCCGTGCCGACGACTGGGGGGGGGGGGGAGGTGACTCCCCCTAAAATTCTAAAACCATCCCTACGTAGCAAAATTCAAAAAGCGGTTAGCGGGAGGGAGGGGGGCTGAACACCATTCGTCACTATACGTAGCACTGCATGATGACAAATCAGCGACATGAGTGTATGCTACTGCTGTTTATGAGCATTTTACCTCAATTACTGACTTTATGAGTATAGTTGATATTTTCCTGTCGATTTTTTTAAATTGGCTACAATTTCTTTCTGTATGTGTGTATGTATGTATGTGTGTGTTTGTTGTTGTTGTTGTTGTTGATATTCACCACTTATGGGGGATGATCCAATGACCCACCTTTCCCCCTCAAAAAAAATGTTGGGGGTATATATGCCCCAGGGATTTACACCCTTGTCCGTTCCTTCGAATCACCCCGAACCCTTCCCAATCCCATCGGCATGAGCGTCGCCGGAATTTTGTCCAGAGGCAGCTATGATTATTTGACACTTGGGGCGCTGTTCAACTTTAAACGAAGCCGTGTACAGAGCACGGATCTGACAGTACATAATATTTTAAAGGCATCTTTCCGGTGGTTTTGTCAAAATTTCAGAAAAATTAACAGTTCCAAAATTACTCAGACAATCTTGTTCCCCCAGCCCCGGCTCCGCACAAGTGACCCCCACCCTGTTCTTCAATCCTCTTGTCCGCACTGTTACCACCTTATAGAATGCAAGGAGAAATCCCGAGGTACCAAGGTTGAAAGAGAATCCAATGCAGTAATTAGTTCGCTTATCAATTCAGGTGAGTAACCTGCTGGTACATCATCCAAGACGCTTTGGATCCCTGGGATCTTCACTTGGCGTCGGCTATATCCATGCATGATAATCTACAAAGCCTTGTAATTATTTGACTGCATGGGTTAAGTCCTCTTTGTATTTCCTGGGGTAGAATTGGACCCATTCATTAAAAATGTTGATTGAAACAAAACGAATAGGGCGCGAGAGAAGATATTCACGTACAAAATAATGACCGAGTGAAAGAAATTTGCCCGCGCTCTTAATTTTTTCCCTCGCAAAAGGACGTTTTTGTTTTGCATGTAAATGAACCCGCCCTCCAAGAGCCAAGTCATTGTCAAGCCGCAAATAATTCATATTTTGTAAAAAAAAATATTCAATAATTAAACTTTGGTGGACTACCATGTCTCATTCAAAAGTGAATAACTTTCATGCCGCTATAGGTAAAAAGCATATATATTACATTTTTTTTCCGGTTTCACACTCGAAATGGATGTTTAACGGCGTTTGGTTGATTTTTCGCCATCGTAATAACATATTTAAACCAGAAAAATATTATTCTAAATAGTTTGTTAATGTAGCAAAAACCAATCCAACAATAGCAATTATATTTACCAAGGGCTTCCCCTGAGGCGTCCCTGAAAAATGAGGCTCTTCCACTTGAGCCTTATACCCCCGCCCCGCCCCCTGAATCTCCTACCTTCTCAGAACTTATGGGACTAAAAAGGAGCAGCCGCAGCGTTGGTATTGTTAAAAATTTAGTGCCCTACTTCAGGAACTGAGTCTTTTTAAGCGTACCCTATTTTCGAGTTGCACCCCCCCCCCCCAAAAAAGCAACGTAAATAAACAACGAATAATATGGATAAGTACATGCGTCGGGTGCGCGGAAGAAAGTCGTTAGGGTGAAAAACAATGGGTCAAAGGTCAAATTCGGATTTTTTTTCGGGTAATAGATAGAGCATGGAAAAAACTTTCATTTGATCTAGATTTTCTCTCAACGGGCTACGTAATACTGATGTAATTAACAGTACAGCAAAAGTAGTAAGGACGTTTTTCTCTATTTGTTCCCGGCAAACGGTCGTTAGCGTGTAATTGTAATTAATGTAACAAAATATGTGCCAAGTGCGCTAACTTTTTTCTTCCAAAATGACCGGCCGGGCCATTTTCAAGATGGCGGCCAGCTTTTTTTTTAAATGGCCGCCACTTCAACCTCGTCCCCAGTGCTTACTTTATTTCCAACCTGGTTTCCAATAGTAAACCTTGGATAGGAAACTTTCTTCTTGTATCCTGATTCGATACCGCAATTGGCTAGTAATGGATTTTTATCGTGTACTTGGTGTTATTATTCACAACGTGCAGTACGTGTTTTCGCGATCATTTGTCCATGCCTTCTCGAAAATACTAATTTCCTTTCCAATATGGTCATATTAATATGAAATATGATACTGCATGTTGTGGCAATCGTGTTTTTGTAACTCAAGCCGTGCTCGCGCCGCGACGAATTGACTCTGTTTTTACCCCAGACACCGCATACAAAAACAAACGCTAATGTCACGCATATCCAGGCACCAGACTATTCCTCATTTGCATACGTGTTCAAAAATCTTGCACATGCAAATGATCCAATACCGGGGTGAGAGGGCAGGTAGTGATGGGCGCGTACTGTTTGACACCCTGGGGACGAGGTTGCCGCCACTTGGACTCAGGAAATGACAGCCCAGCTTTATAAGGGCTAGATGCAACAGAGAAAAGGCCAAAAAAAGAAAGGAAAAAAGGAGGCTGCCTCCAAAAAAGAAAGCGGGCGGGACGCTAAACATTTTTTTTTTTTTGCCTAACCCTATTTTCAACGTTCATATTTCCAATTTAAGGACATTTTGGTGCCTTTTTTTTTCTTATGCTAATGCAAATTTCCATATTTATTAGCAAAAGTGTGACATGTCAATTTTCAGGCAAAAACCTCAACGTTACAGCTATTTCAGCAGCCACATTTTCTTTGGTGATTCGTTTTTGTTTAAGTTCATGACAGTAAGCTAATGGGCACAATTTTCTCACAAATGGTAGAAACTTCAATGTTACAGCTATTCCAGCACCAAAATTGTCAATTTGTTTTTGGACATTTTCCTCAGTAAATTTTCTGGTCTTTGGCGGTTCGTTGCTGTCTCAGTAAATAGCAGTAAGCCAAATATTTGGGTTCACAATTTGAACAGAAAACCCATAAATTGAACAGTGTCTTTTCGAATTTACATCACAGTTACAGCGCCCTTATGTGTCAGGA